ATCCAATTTCAATGAAACTTGAAATATAGGTTTATCTCCCCAAGATCTCGGTTCCTTTCGATATTAATATTAGCATGTATCGGACCGTAACTTCATGGATTATGGCCCATGATTGTACGTAAAATCGCGTTTTTAGGTTGTGAACACTGTCGAGGTCACAATTTTTATCCGATGTGGTTTAAACTTTAAATGTATATTTATAACCCACAGATCTCGATTCCGTTCGATATTCGCGCATATCGGACCATAACTTCCTGAATTATGGCCCCTGATTGTACGAAAAATCACGTGTTTAGCTTGTGGACCCCATAGAGGTCACAATTTTTATCCGATTTAAAAAAAAACGTGTGAATATATCACTGTTACACCTTAAGGATGGTTGAGTTCGAATTTCGTAAAAATCGGACCGAAACTGACGGACAAAAATAGTGTCAAAATATTGCGTATCAGGGTTGTGGACCCTCTGGAGGTCACAATTTTCATCTGATTTTGATAAAATTTGAAATGCATGTTTATAACCCACAGATCTCGGCTCCTTTCAATATTCGCGCATATCGAACCATAACTTCCTGAATTATGGCCGAAAAATCGCGTTTATAGCTTGTGGTCCCCCTAGAGGTCACAATTATTATCCGATTTAAAACAACGTTTGAATATATCACCGTTATACTCTAAGGATGGTTGAGTTCGAATTTCATAAAAATCGAACCAAACCTGACAGACAAAATGGCCACGCCTCGTTGTCAAATAGCGTAAAAATATGGTATATCAATGTTGTGGACCCTGTGGAGACTTGAAATAGTTGAAATGCATAATTACAACGCAAAGATCTTGGTTCCTTTCCATATTCGTGCATATTGGATCGTAACTTCCTGAATTATGGCCCTTGATTATATGAAAAGTCGCGTTTTTAGGATGTGATCCCTCAAGATGTCACAATTTTTATCCGATTTAAAAAAAACGTTTGAATATATCACTGTTACACCCTTATGATGGTTGAGTACGAAGTTTCGTACAAATTGGACCAGAACTGCCGGACAAAATGGCTGCTCCTCGTACGCAAATATTGTAAATATATGGTATATCAAGGTTTTGGACCCTCTGGAGAGAGGACACAAATTTGATCCGATTTTGATAAAACTTGAAATACATGTTTATAACCCAAAGATCTTGGTTCCTTTCAATATTCATGCATATCGGATCGTAACTTCCTGAATTATGGCCCTTGATTGTACGAAAAATCACTTTTTTTAGCTTGTTCTCTGTCCATCTCTTGCAAAATGTGGGCATATCATGCATGGCAACCGCTTGTTAAAAAAAGTATGGGGATTGTTCGTTAATTGCTGCAATTAAATTGTATCTTTTTCTCACTATACATGTAACTCATACCCTCATATGTAGAACGGAGGGGATGACAATGAAAGCTGTCTAGTCGTTCGGATGGTCCCGTGTACACATTGGCGTGCACGTAAAAGATCCCTTGGCAGTTGGAATTCGATATAAGAGTAGGCCGTAGTGCCGCTGTCCGGGCAAAATTTCCCTCATAGCACACTGTATGGCGTATGCCCGTCTTTATTAGCCCAGGTTAGGAGCAGAACAGTAGGACGTTAAACTCCATTTCATTTCATTTCATTTCATACCCTCATCTTTGAGAAGAATCATCCCATCTGATCTAAAAAGATAATTTTATGTTTTCAGATGGTAAGCTTGTGACCCGGATGGATGAATGATGGAAAGACAAATAATAAGTACTGTATACAGTATTTGGTATAAATCAGTCATTGAAAGTCATTACAGCTGAAGATTTTAATGACGCTCTGTACTGGTACTAACAATGTTGATTACAGTCAATGGAAGATAATCCTTTGTAGGCATTCACATTTCAATACAGTCGTATATTTCCGTCATCCACTCCTGTGGTCTGTCATCCATATTTGTCTTAGCACAATACAGGCCTTAATCTTAGTTAATCCCCTTTCCTTCATGGATTATAGCACCTGACTGTATTGAAAAAATCACATTTTGAGCTTGTGAAACCTCCAGGAATCACAATTTTTATCTGATTTTAAAAAAAACGTTCAACTATATCACCGTTACATCATAATAACAGTTGAGCTTAAATTTCGTGAAAATCAGACTGAAATTGCCAAACAAAATAGACAAAGTTTTGGACCCATCTAGAGGTCGCAATTTTGAACATAAAATGTATGTATATAACCCAAAGATCCCAGATCCTTTCAATATTCGCGCATATTGGGTCGTAACTCCCTGGATCTCATTTCCTTTCAATATTCATGCATATCAGACCATAACTTATAGATTATGGCCCCTGATCGTATGAAAAATTGCATTTTTAGCTTGTGGACCCTTGAGAGTGACAATTCTGATGATAAAACTTGAAATGTATGTTTATATCCCAAAGATCTCGGTTCATTAGAATATTCGGGCATATCGGACCAAAACTTATGGATTATGGCGACTGATTGTACAAATCACATTCTAGAGATCACAACTGTTATCCAATTTTGATGAAACTTAAATCGCTTTTTTGGCTTGTTCTGTCCATCTCTTACAAAATGTGGGTGTATCTTGCATGGCATCTGCTTGTTTTCACTGTGTCTCTTAGTGTTTCCATGGGAATCTGGGGGGTTGGATGGCCGACTGGTTAGCTCATGTCTGTCATTGAGTTAACTGGCATGGTTTCGATTCCTCAGTTGTATGTGATGAGGAGTAGGGTCAACTGTCCAATCTCATGGGTTTTCTCCAGTTTCCTCCCAATGCTAAAGACTGCTACGCGCTATCGAATTATTGAAATAAAATGGACCCATATATTAGTCTTGAAATGACCTAGTTTGTATCGAGTGGACGTTAAACCCCATTTCTCTTTCTCTGCATGAATTTAGTATTTTCTAGTAAGATTGGGTGTCTCTACTTTCCATATCCAAACTTACCATATTTTATTCGAAATAATCTCCCTATAATTACTTTTTTCGGAATGCATCTTTAACTGAACATTTTTTTTTGTTTTAATTTCAGGTTAATCAAACCATAATAACAGCACCTATGAATGTGGTCGAATAAGGTGTGGAGGTGATCAATAGCAACATTGAATGTGGGTTGAATATGGTGTGTTAAAGATGCAAGAAAACACACGAAATGTGTAAACTGTAATGGATTATAGCCTGGCGCTATCCAAATTACAAAACACCTGCCCTTGAGTCTATGAATATTTATTTTTTATGGCACCCACATTTTCATGTCGCTGCCTCTGTCCGTCCAGATGTACCTCCGGTTAAATTTGTTTGTGGTCACAATTATCCGATTTTAATGAAATTTAAATGTATATTTATATTCAATCATCTGGGATCAGATTCATTTTGAACTCTAACCTCATGGGTTATGGCCCCTTATATTGTGGAAAAATTGGGTTTTTAGCATGTGGGCCTATCCAGAGGATTTTGGCGTAGAATATTACACCTGATTGTACGATCCATTGTTTTTAACTTCTGGATCCTCTAGAATTCTCAGTTTTATATGCCAACATTTCCCATGCCCGAATTAACCCCTCTTTGCTGAAGATTTGGCTTTCGAGTTCAGAGTTATGCCCCATAGCCAAAACTTTGAATTTGATAGGAGTTACAGTTTTTAACCGATCCTTTGCAGATTTGGTGTGAACCATTGGATTCATGAGATCACGAACCCCAACGATATACAGTGATTCGAAGATAACCTTTTCAAAAAAGCTTGTGAATGTGATGAGGCTACAATTTTTTAATTTGCCGTGTAGCATTGGGACCATGAGAGGACAAATCCAATAAATTTCAGCAATCCACACTTAACCCACTTTTTTGGAAACCATGTGAACGTGATAAGGCTACAATTTTTTTAACAGATTTTTTTCTAATTCTATATGAAACATTGTGACAATGAGTGGATAAGCCTTATTTATATTCCTTATTCTCTTTTGCAATATGTGTGTGTATCTTAGATGGCAACCACTTGTTAATTGTATCAATTGTGTTGTAATATTTTGAAAACAATAATAAATAATAAATATCAAAGTGTTATTTTGTTTCATATTTGCGGTTTTTCAGCATAACTAGGATTATTCAGTGTGCTATGAGGGAAATTTAGCCCAGATGTGGCTTTTCTGAATTGTCCTCTTTTAATTACACAGGTTTCTTTTTTTTACATGGACGACAATTTCTGCATGGAACTTTGGCTTTTCAGCCCCATCACTATCACATCAAAACACCATCCTTTGCCAGGTCCTAAATCCACTGATCAGGCGAACGGTGCAGAAAATCCTGGGAGGGTGGAGTAACTTTCATGACCGACACTGGGATCAAATACAGCCCCCACCCCCACCTGGTTTGTGAGCTAGGGCTCACACTGTTGAAGTCTGCAACCTTACTGGGTAGAAGTGATAATAACAACCAATAAGCACTGGGTTAAAGTGAGAAAAACACCCGATAAGCCCTGGGTTGAAGTGAGAAATACACCCGATAAGCACTGGTTTGAAGTGAGAAAAACACTGGGTTGAAGTGAGCAAAACACTACATAAAAACTGGGTTGAAGTGAGCAAAACACTGGATTGAAGTGAGCAAAACACTCCATAAGCACTGGGTTGAAGTGAGAAAAACACCTGATAAGCACTGGGTTGAAGTGAGAAAAACACCTGATAAGCACTGGGTTGAAGTGAGCAAAACACCGGTTTGAAGTGAGCAAAACACTCGATAAGAACTGAGTTGAAGTGAACAAAACGATCAATAAGCGCTGGGTTGAAGTGAGCAATACACTCGATAAGCACTTAGTTGAAGTGAGAAAAACACCCGATAAGCACTGAGTTGAAGTGAGAATAACACCCGATAAGTACTTGGTTGAAGCGTAGAACTAGAATACTAACGGGAACGCCCACTCGGTGACGTATAACGGTGATGACATAATTATGTTGTACATCGCATGCGCGAAGTCAATAAGGCACAAGTAACTTCAGGCCGTATGTCAACATAGCAGAAGCGTACGACGTCCTGGAATTTCAAGAACTTGACGGTGTAATAGATGTAAGTTATTCATAATTTTAATGAGTTTTTTTTAAATTAGTTATATAACATACCATCGGGAGTATAAACCATTTATTTTCGGACATTAAATTATCCGAACACACGTTTGTGTATCATTTTCTACTACATATTATAAAATTATTATTAATAAATTATGATGACATTCACATTTTATTTAGGACTTGTTATTATTTTTATTTATTGTTTTGTGCATATTGTTGTTAGCCTTTGGCATGTCCGTGCCAGTTTTGGCTGGTTTCCCAGTGCCCTTTTCTTGTTTATAACAAGGGGTTTTACATAGGCTAAGCCTGTTCCCCAATCCCATTCAGACATCCTGAATAAAAATATTGTTTATATAAAAAAAAAAATGTGTATTCTTTACTACAGCTTTTCTTTGCTAAAGATTTGTTTGAGACATCTCAACCTGTCGTTCCAGTAGCATCCGTAAGTTTTCTACATATACAACATACATACATATAGTCACATAGTGTTCGTAGCAAATGGGCAAGTTTTGAAACTCATTATAGTCTCGACCATGTCTATATATTTTTTTTCTTCTCAAACGATCAAATTGCTTTGGAAATGAAATGAAATGGGGTTTAACGTCCTACTGTTCTGCTCCTATGCTGGGCTAATGAAGACGGGCATACGCCATAAGGTGTCATTTAAGGGAAATTTCGCCCGGGCAGCGGCACTATCACCTATTCTTATATCGAATTCCAACTGCCAAGGGATCTTTTACGTGCATTCCAATGTATACAGGTGACCTCGGGTTTTCGTATCATCCGAAGGATTAGACAGCTGTCCTTGTCAGGCCCTCCGTACTGCATCACTGACAAGGGGGAACCACGCCGGAAAATCTGGATGAACTTTCTCGGCAAATGCAGGGATCAAACACCCGACCTCCAGGCTAGCGAGCCAGCGTCTTACCCACTTAGCCACGTGATCCCAAATTGCTTTGGAACAGTTTCTTTTATTTTGTATAATATTTACTTTAAAGGGACAATAACACTCTTGCTGGCTTGAAAGCTCCAGAAAATAAATAATATCTCTATCTAAGTACTAGATGTTTAAGTGTCCCACCTGTTGTGTAAATTATCCATTACATCCTATTTTACTTGTCCAGAGGGTTCGAAAATATTTTTAAATCGAAGTTTCATTTGAAAAGGTTTACGTTAGACGTTTCAAACCATTATGTTGAATTTTTTAAATAAGGTGTGTTAAGATGAAATTTGTATCATCAATTAATTGAAATATTCTAAAATAGTTAAATTTGTTGACCAGAATAAAGATTGGGACATATTATTCAGTTACAACAAGAGTGGTATTGAGCCTTTAAAGAACTGTATTAATTTGGTATCAAGCTCGTAATTAGATAAAATTGTGAGGGAAATTTTAACCTCCAACCCTGTCTTTGGTTGTGTACAGATTTACACTGGTAATTTTAATTCATAGCTATTGATTTTGTTTGGTTTTTATTTAGGTTGTTTTCATTGTTATTTATTTTCTTTTTAAGATTCAAACTAATCCAGTTAAATTTAATGGGAAAGTTCAAGTAGTGGTTATATGAAAAATGATCTGATGTTCACATGATCTCAAGGGTTTGCCGAACCTCAATCGAGTTTAACCCCAACAAGGAATATTATACATCAAAACTTGTCATCTGCCTGTGCAATTTCTAGTATAAGTTTATCATCATTTGGAACAAATGGTTAAATTACTATTCAAGATGACTAATTTAAAAAACAAGAACAACAATATGTGGTTGGAATGATCCAAGGCTCTGTTCAAAGATATTTTATTCACATGACAGTGATGCTTGTTAAATAAAACTTGTGAATTTAACAGATAATGACCATTGATAAACACTAAAGGCAAATAGAAATGCACAAAAAAATCCATAAGCTTATGATAATAATGATTAAACATACATTATGCAAGAGCTAAATCTGCCTATTGCAGGTTTTCTTTAGGCCTGAAATGTTTTCTAAATTATTAATTAGACATTAATTAACTTATCCAGGCCCTAATCAACTCTCGATAGCATCGGATTTCTCCAATATTAAACAGATTAGAACAGTTCAGCCATATTTTGATTTAAGCTAAAAATGGAGGAGTGAGACTACTTCGAACAACCAGTACGATGGTTGAAATTATTGCACACGTCTTGTCAAACCTTCAAAGGCCTTCAAAGGCTAATATCTTCGCTCGCAATAGAGTAATTTGAATGAAATTTTCAAATTATTCATTTTACATTATTTATCTTCGAACTATTATAGCAAGAATGGCTAGCTCTTTATCAAAATCTTACATAATGTATATTTAAGAATAATTTAATACATTTATAAAGCTCACACATTACAAGTTGTGCACCTGTATAAAATTTGTATAAATTTTGTTATCATTGTTAATATTTTATACTGAGATGCAATAAAAATAATACATCACTTTTATAAATGGATGAATGTAAATCTTGTTTGAAATGAATCCAGGTTTAACGCCCTACTTAGTACTTTTCAGCTCAATTTTGTTTAAAAGATTTGCTTTAATCTTGCAATTAAGGATGTAATAACATCATATTACGATGATAACATGTGAGAATGTTTTGAAGATTGCGTAAACGCACCCCGAACAATTCTCAATCAAAAAAATTTAACCCAACAGAATCAGTATGTTGATTTTTCTGGTACACACGTGGGGTATATAATGCAGCTTTTAAAAAGCTAGGTTTTGTGCAACTGTGGAAGGTGCAAAGTTATGCCACGTCATCTCAGAGGTGCTATTTTATTGCGTCTCGATATATTTTGTTTACAATTATCAACCTGGCCCCAAGTTCACAAAGCATTCCCAGACTTAATAATTTGCTCAACTTTCAATCACTGTTTTTGAGAAATATCTTTGATCCAGAAACACAAAACTTTGCACATAGTTTCTTATTGATATATTTACATTAAAACAACAATAGTTAGTAAAGTGCTGTATTTAAGTTAAAATAAGACAAACAATTTTGAGTAAAACCTTAACTTAAGACTGAGAATGCTTTGTGAACTTGGGGCCTTGTTTTCTTTTCATTACTTATTATCTACAATACAGTAATAACAAGAAATAAAAAATCTGTAGAACACTGCTGATTAAGTTCTAGATTTAATCCTAGATTCAATCACATTTATATTTTTAAACTTCCAATATCGATATTAATTCCAATAGAGCCAGGTGATGTTTAGTTTAATTATACACTTTCTATTTTGTTGTATGAAATTATCTGTATAATCTGTGTTTTTGTTACTTTCATTGTGTGAAATGCTTGCAGCAAAGTGCTGTAAATAAAATACCTGACATCAATGATCACAGTTTAACTCTATAACTTCTCATTTGACCTCAAATCTATGTGGAGTCGAGTCAGTTGGAAGAAATAAATCAAAATGGAGTGAAATCTACATTTTAATCAAATTCGTACCACATGATTATATTCTACCACTTTTTGCTCGTTTATATGGCAACTATATATTATTGCTAAGCTATTTTTGAATTGTAAATTACATTTACAAGTATGTAAATATTGATTCTTTGAATTATATATTTTCAATTAAAATCTGAATATGCAATGTGCTATGTAGCCATATATGTGAAATAAACTATTATTATTGCTATTTACTTTCTCTGTAAATCTCTGTTAATCTGTCGACAACTTAAACAAATTTCGATTTGAGTGTCCTCAAGAAAACTATTACATACAGAAGCAAGTACACAGATTTCGTAATTTATATGTTGACTTATTTGTGTTCATGAAAAGATCAACCTGTCTGATATATCTTACAGTTGTAGGCTGACATTGAGAATAAGACTGTAAATGTTTTGATGTTATGCCCCTACATATCTTCATATTCTCAACAGTTCTTATAAGTAAATCTATAGATGTAACTTTAATTTGAACAGGAAACAAAAATTATTATATTGTACTTCACAATTCAAGTCCTTGTCAATGGTTAAATGGTATGTTACACTTTTATCTTCAGTTTTAAACAGATAGATATAATCACTTGAAGACTGACATAGCCACAAAGCAGGCATTTGACATAAAAATGATTTCTGCAACATCTGAAAGGTTACTTCGTTCATATGTAAACATTGAGTTTCCTCGGTTTTCCCTGGACTCTGAATAAAATAGACAAATTCATAAAACTCAATTAAAACAAGAAGAATTGGATTCTCATACATGTATTCATAATTTTCTCGGTTTCTGAATAAAATCGAAAAAAATTACAAAAGTAAATATAAAGAAGAATCGGATATTCATACAAGTATTTATAAATAAAATTATGGTAGATTACAGAAAGAGCTAGCAGTTCTCATCATAATAGTTAAAAACTAGATAATGTAAAGGGAATTTGCTGAAAATTTCAGTCAGATTGATCCACCCTGAACCGAGTATTTAGTGGTTGAATTTTGGGCCTAGCCTCGATCATCATTACTAAGGTCGGTACGATAAAAAAAAACATGGTCTCGATTATCCATTTTTTGATTTAATCAGAAGTAGCAGACTGGGCTCTAATCCAGTATATATCACAGGCTAGCGATGCCATCGAGTGTTGATTATGGTCTGGATAAGTTAATTAATGTCTAATTAATAATTTAGATAACATTCCAGGCCTAAAGAAAGACCTGCAATTGACAGATTTAGCTCTTGCATAATGTCTGTTTAATATTGATGAATTAAATGTTCATATACTGATCTTTTATAAGGAAACATCGAATGTTCATAATTATAATTAAGTTAACAGAAATTTAAGTTACCGGTGACTTCCTTGGATTCAATTTCTTTGTTGTTACGCTTTTCTGTAGAAGAATTAAGGTTGATAGTCTCCCTAACCCTTCTTTTAATCTTCGATATGTGGACCCAGAATTTTTGTAAACATCTGAAATATTCATAAAATCAAAATAAAAAGGTTCCTACATACAAAACAAAAGGTTCAGATATAATTATTTTTTTCCATGCTTGTTGATTATTCATACCGGGAACAAGATTATTTCGGAATTTAAAAATAAAAGGATTTGACAGGTCAAGGTCAGTCATAAATAAATATACAATTTTAATTTTTATGGAGCTGCTCAGTTAAAACTTTGACCTTTAAAAAAAATAATAATTAGTAATTCATAAAATTAAAGTAAAAGAAGATTGTTGAGAGAGAATCGTCATGCTGTCACACACTCATCGGGTGTAGTAATCGTCAATTTCATAACAAATTGAAAGTAGACTAGGCCTAGCTACGGCACTAATGTAAACAAACCTATATGCATACAAATGAGAGAAGGGGTAAAATCTAACGGGCAAACATGAAAATACAGACATTCAGCTAGTATGGGTTTAACTTAACTTCATTGTTTCATTGTAGGTTGTCAGGGTGGACTGCCAACTAGAATCTACATAATTAATTTCTTTTGAGTTTTCACTTACTTTTTCAACGAAATAATCCGGCTCAACGTGTCTTGATTAATAATTAGTAATTCATAAAATTAAAGTAAAAGAAGATTGTTGAGAGAGAATCGTCATGCTGTCACACACTCATCGGGTGTAGTAATCGTCAATTTCATAACAAATTGAAAGTAGACTAGGCCTAGCTACGGCACTAATGTAAACAAACCTATATGCATACAAATGAGAGAAGGGGTAAAGTCTAACGGGCAAACATGAAAATACAGACATTCAGCTAGTATGGGTTTAACTTAACTTCATTGTTTCATTGTAGGTTGTCAGGGTGGACTGCCAACTAGAATCTACATAATTAATTTCTTTTGAGTTTTCACTTACTTTTTCAACCAAATAATCCGGCTCAACGTGTCTTGAACATATTGTCAAGGTCTTGTCATTTATCGGGTCTGATCTGGTAGACTGTATGATACGTAATGATTCTCTCTCCACTCTGTTGTTTTTGGGTAAGCGATAGAATGATCAACCCCGATTTCTTTTATTGCAGGCGGAACATCCGAACAAAACACAATTCGCGCCAGGCATTTTGTTAGTGCGAGCAGAAACCGGAAGTACGCTGTGCCCGATATCAGCGTCAGAAGCCCGCCGTCACATAAGGTAGTGACGTCACACGGTGGGCGTTCCCGTTAGTATTCTAGTTCTATGGTTGAAGTGAACACTTCGCTGAAGCCTAATTTGCATATTTGGCATGGCTTCTTCCTCACTTCAACATCATTTCTGCCTTCTTTATTTCATTGAAAATTTGAAGTGTTGTTACGGAAGTGTGGTAGAAATGAACACTTCAGATATAAAATTTTTCACCTCGAGCACGTCTCGGTTTAGTGTCACCTACACTTCATATGGGTGGCGTCATCACTTCATTTGCGTGAGGGGAATGTACAAAAAATCGCGTTTATTTTTAGCTTGTTCTTCTGTCCATCTCTTGCAAAATGTGGGGGTGGGTCTGGCAGCCGCTGGTTATTACATCTTATGAGATATCCTTTTTGTGTCTAAATTATAGCTGCCTGCAGAAAACGGGGCCATTCAGAGGCCAATGCCAAGGAAAGATTGAAGGCTTGGCTCTGCTACAGTTCGGACAGAAAAGAAAGTCTTTTAAATGTTTACATTCTTCAATTTGGATTTGAAACTATTAGAAGTAAAATCAATCTCTTCAATTCTTTACAATGAATGAAATGGTGAAATGAAATTAAATGTCTGTTCTGCTCCGACTGGGCAAATAAAGACGGGCATACGCTATACAGTGTACTATGGGGGAAATTTTGCCTGGACATCAGTGCTGTGGCCTACTTTTATATCGAATTCCAACTGCCAATTCCACAACCTCTAGGCTAGCGAGCAAGTAGTGTCTACTTACTTAGACCAACTTGGCTCCTATATGAAATGGTATAGATACCTTAATTTCATATATTAAAATGACAAAATTATTAGAGTAAATTGTTGATATTAGACATAGATTTGTGGTAATAATTATATTAATCTAAATCATTATTTATTCGTAGCTGTGGAAGTTGAAAATCTCTTTTCCTCTGATGGAGAAGATTAGATAAGGAACTGGCAGTTCTTACTATAATAGTTAAAAACTAGATAATGTAAAGTGAATATGCTAAAAATATTTTATCAGATTGTTCCACTCTGAACTGAGAAAACCTTATTTTAAAATCACAGCAGCCTTGATTGTCATTGTTACCGCTAAGTAACGGTTAAGTAACAATGTCTTGATTATCCTTTTTTTTGCATTTAATTATCAATGACCTTTGAAGAGCATATCGGATTGAAATCAAATCAAAATCAGAGACATCAGATGGCATCGAGAGTTGAATATTGCGTTTTCATGTTAATAAATGTCTAATTAATAATTTAGATACCATTTCTTCAGGCATAATAATGTTTAAATTTACAATAAAGAGAGATATCAATGATCTTTTGGGGCTTTCTTTTTTATTTCCAGTCTTTCAAGGGATCACATGCAGGAAGTATGTATGAATGCACAATTGTTGAAGAGGCAAGCCAAGTTTCATATTGATTG